CAATATCTTCATAATAAATATTTTTTATTTCAATACGAGTTCGATTTGGCATAATTAAACATCGATCACCAATACGACAACATCCAGATTCAATTTTACCCATTTCCTATATATAATTAAATATAGTTTAGATTATTTTTCTAGAATTGTTGAAACAAACTTTATATCTTTCAACAATAGGCATTCGTAGAGGACCATCAATAATTTCGATTAAATGAAGGTAAACTATATAAATATTCAATAAATGTTGGTCCTCTATAAAGTAATAAATTCATTTCTTTTTTATATTGATAATTATATTAAATACTAACTTATACCAAGGTAAAATTTTATCACCAGGATGTTCTTTAAGTAAAGCTCCACTCATTCCACTACAAGGCATAAAATACTGTATCTTCACCATGTTTAAAACGACATTTTTTGAGATAAGGTGTAAGTTTATCACGAATTTCTTCATATCTTGTTTGATCCCAATTGACAGTTGGATCATCCATTTTATTAATAAGAACAACTAAATAACGAACACCAGCTGTTTTAACTAACATAGCATGTTCACGTGTTTGATCACCACATTCAAAACCTGTTTCAAATTCACCTTTACGAGCTGAAATTACCTAAAAAAATCATTTTCATTTTTTGATTCAAAAAAATTATTTGTAGAAAAATATGGAAATTACAAGAATAGCAATATCAGCTTGTTCTGCATCACCAATCATATTTGGAACAAAATATTTATGACCAGGTGCATCAAGANCATCAAGAATAATAAAATGTTTTTTTTCTGTTTCAAACCAAGCTCGACCAACTTCAACAGTTTTTCCTTTTTTCCTTTTTCCTCTTTCTTCTTCATTTGTATCTAATGCCCATGATAAATACCAAGATTCTCGAGATTTTTCACGAGCTTCATTTTGATATTTTTCTCATGTTCGTTTATCAACTTGACCTGTTAAACACCTTAAAAAAAAAGAAAAATTTTTGAATGAAATTATTTGTTTTTGAATATAATAAGTGTAAGGATCGTAATGATTCACTCAAAGACATGTGCTGGATGGATGATTGGAAGCAACCAATCTACTTCGTCGTTTAGCATTTGCCTTCGTTTTTTTGTAATATTGATATTTTCAATAGATGGCGTAGTTTTATGCAAATGATATAAATTGCTAACTTTTGTTAGACTAGACATGAAAGTTTGTCTTCGTTTTGTTAAATTGAATTATTTCTGTTTTCTCTACAATCTCTAATCTTATTTCAACCTATCAAAAGTCGACAAACAATTTATTCATTTTTTTTTTATATAATTCTAAAATATTTAAAGATGACTTTGATCATATAATAACTTTACATACAATGAAATAAATAATTCTCTTAATTCACTTAATACAAAAAGAAGAAAAAAAAACTCAAAGAATAACCAATGGAGGTTGATTAATTGTACTAGAAATTGATATAGTTCTAGTTGATTGAGATTTAATTCTATTAAAATAATGTTGTTGAATCATTCGTTTTAATCGATTTCTTTCAATTGATGATTGTTGTCCATAATTTATAAGGTAAATATAGTTTTTCATTTAATTCTTGTTAATTTTCTTGAATAAATATACGATTTAATAAATTAAAATCTTCTGTTCCTGAATCTGAATAAGGTATTATTGAACGTTGTTGAAAAAATTTTGCACGTTGTCGATATTGTTTTGCTTTAGCTAAATGTTCTTTACGTTGTTGTTGTGTCCAATATTTATCTTGTTTTAATTCACTCATTGGTTCATCATCTGTTGTTTCATTTTGTTCTTTTAAACGTTGTTCATGACAACGACGTCGAAAATGTTTTAATGTCCATTGATTATGATTATTATTGTAACGAGAATGATATGAATCATTTGATTTTGATCGACTACGATCACTATCATTTCGACTTTTAACAATTAAATTTTGTTGTAATTGATTATTAAATAGTAATGGTTTAAGTATAATTTGTTCATTATCTGTTGTTATTTCCAAAAGACTTTGAGAACGAATTAAAGGTTTTTTACATTGAATTTGTTTTTCTTCATGTTTTATAGATGATCTTAAATCATTTAATGATAAACAACGACGATATTGAAATTGATCTGTATAAGATTGTATACGACGACAATTTAAACAATTATTATTTAATGCAGATGATGATAAACTAATACAAATTTTTATTAAATTATTACATTCATTTCAAGATTTCTAAATATAGATCAACAAAATAATTTTTTTTTGTTTTTTTTGAAAAAAAATAAAATTTTCATAGTTGATTTGTTATTTCAATATCTGTATTACAGACAATAACAACACCATTATCATCTTCAGTTAATGGTATTGATTGAATTATTGGAAGATAATTAACTTGAAAATGTACAATTTGTAAAAGAATATGACAAGCACCATTTACAAGATTAATTGCTTCGTCTCGACTTGTAACACGATGATTGTTTATTTTAATAATTTGATCACCATTTCGAAGTTCACCCCGATGACCTGCTATACTCTCTTTATCA